CCGACCGCGTGCATGAGCCAGGCCTTGAGCCAGGCTGGGGACGGAGACGTTCCCGTCGACACGCGACTGGAAAAGTGTCTGAGACAAGGCAGACGTCCGATGTATGTGTTTTGCTACTGTATGCTAGCTAAGGATATCTCGACCCCTTCTCGGGAACCGGTGTGCTGCCCTGGGCCGTCGTTGGATGTCCACCCGAAGCCCCACGAGTGCGTCCGAAGATCTCCGAAGACCTCCGAAGGCCTCCGCGGGCCCCCGAACTTTTCCGAGGGCCTCCGAAGCCCTCGCGAGACGTCGGAGGAGGACCGCCGAAGACCTCCGAAGACGTCCGATGGCCTCCGGGAGGCCCGCGAGGGCCTCCGAGGGCCAGCCCGCGGCCCTCCGAAGGCCTCCTGAGGGTCTCGCAGGGTCGCCCGGGGATCGCCGAGGGCCTCCAGGAGCTTCTGGCACGTGTGCGCGGGGCGGAGGCGTTTTGGGGGGATTCCGCCGACGATCAGTGGTCCAGCAGGGGGAGGGAGAAGGCGTCGCCGCAGTTCGGCAGCAGGCGGAGGGGGCCGCAGGAGAAGGATCGCATCGGATCGGGCATGTGGATTCAGGGCGTGGCGTCGGACAGGTGTGAGCCGCAGGAACGAGGAGGAGGAGGAATGCAAGGTGGAGGAGGAAGACGAGGAGGAGCAGGAAGGAGAGTGGAGGAGGAGGATACCAATGCAGGGATGCAGGCGAATGCATGATGAACCAGAAGTGAAAAGGAGAAGAACACCGATGATGCGAAGGGACCCCGTGGTCCTCGGGGGGAGCGGGAAAGATGGTGCAAACGTGTGCCTCCCTCTTCCTGGGTTTCGTGTCAATACTACAAGGCATTGTAAGGAGGGGAGTCGGGCGAAGTGCTTAATCGGATCGAATCCCGTTCGCGTGGTACCTACCCCATGTGTGCTGGCGTGGATCCTTAGGGGTGTGGGATCTCCTGCGGGTGGACCCCCAAACATGTGGATAGACATGCGTGTGTAACTTCATGGGTGCGGGTGTGGAACCATTCATGGTGGTCCACGCGCAGGGGCTATCGCACACAGAGACACCAACAAACCTACAAACACAAACACACTTGTTTCCGCCGGCGGCCGGGCGAGTGTCACTGCAACGAATACTGGAGCGGGCCATGCCTAGTTCGATTACCGCCGGGACTTGCAGACGTGGGGTCAGTCACCCTAGCACGCACACACACACACACGCGCGCACACGCGCACACGACGTTCTACCCACATGGGGCTCGTTTCTCGAATGGGCCGCGCCAACGTCGCAAAATCCGCCGACGCTGTCGGCGTGTGGAATGGGTTGTTCGTCGTGGTTGTTGTCCGCGTACGTACTCGCCGTCTTTTTTGTTCTGGGTCCGTCGCCGCTCTCCCCTCTTTCGCTGGGCCCTCGTCCTCGAGCGCGCCAGCCAAAGCGAAATGAAGCAACCCAACCAAAACGGAATTAACCAACGTTGTCGTTGAATCGAGGGAAGCTCCAATCCTTTGATCCCTTCCCCGCTGGGGGGGGGAGGGTCCCGGGGGGGTCCCAGGGGGGGGGTGTCCCGGGTCAGAATACCATCTCCCGTTTGCGGCCTTTACAGAGGGTCCCTCTGTAGATGCGCTGGAGGAGGGGGGTTCGCCACGACGGATCCGCAAGAGCGCGCCCCTGGACGGCCCAAGCCCCACAAGACAGCCCAACCCCAACAGCGCCTAAGGACGGCCAAAGGGGGCCCCCAGACGGGTCAAAAGAACCCCAGAAGGACTCTCAAGAAGGCCCAGAGATGCCATATTCATTGATTTTCGGAGAAAGGTGTTGTACCCGCCCTCTCCCTCCCATTTCCGTCGAGGGCCGAGGCCTCCAGAATTGGTTGCTCCTACTCGCTTCCTCTCGCTGCTCCCCCACTCATCGTCCTCCTCCTCCTCCTCCTCCTCCTCCTCCTCCTCCTGCTCCTCCTCCTCCTCCTCCTCCTCCGCATCCTACCCCGCCCCGCTCGTTTTCATCTTCGTCGTATTCAAGGTCGGCGGCACCAGCCGTAAGGTCTTCGCAATACAAGAGGCCTGGCATGGTCCTCACGTGGACGTCGCGTGGGCCTCTATGGTGTCATAGAGGCTGTGTTGATTCTCTCGAACAAAGACTGCTACTGTAAATCTACGGCCCTCATTAAACTCATAATCCGATTGGCCTCTATACAACACGTGGAGGCCCGCGTGAGGCTCATGTGAGGCCAGCGCCGGGTAACTGGGGTTTTCCATGCTCAGCAGCGCCGATGCTCTTGTGGTATAATACGCGCAGGGTTCCACGCCCCCATATCTGAGGTTCCACACGAATGAGTCTCCACAAGTAAAAGAATCGTCACATATGGGGTTCAATGCAGGAAATGCTGACCTCTCATGCGCCAGCGGGCCGCTGGACCGGCGGACCATCGTAGCATCCCCTGAAACAACTTGCACGCATGGCTTCCACGCGCATGACCAAACCCAACCCCACCTCCCTTCCGCTCCCGGCCCCTCTATTTTACGCGCAGACGCTTGCGTTGCTCTGTATCCTCCCGTTGCCCCGTTCCTTCCCCTCCCCTTCCCTCCCCCCCGTCACTCCCCACACCCTTATACCATCTCCTGATCCTCTTGTCCTGTCAAGGTTGTCGGCAATGATCTGGTAGCGAGTTCTGGGCGCTTCCGACTCAGGTCCCGTCTGAGGGCTGGGGGGCTCGGCGTCTGTGGGGTTGGGCCCGAAGTCCTGCCGTTCGGCCGACCCGCCGCCGCCGCTCCCAGGCCCTACGTGGCCACCCCGTTTGGTTGAGCTAACGCTCCCCTCCTCGCCTGCCTTCGAGGCCCCGCCATACCGTATCATCTCCTGATCCCCCTCGCGTCATCCCTCCTCCCCCCCCTCCTCTTCCCTCCTCCTCCTACTCCTCATCGTCCTCGTCCTGCTTCTCTGTCTGCCCCCCCGCTCTTCCCTCCTCCTCTCCCTCCTCCTCATATTCCCATCCCTTTCTCACTCCTCTCCCACCTCATCCTCCAAGGTCCCCTCCCCACGACCCTCCTCAACCCCTTCGAAGAGACCTTACTTGAACCATGGGGCTTTCGGGAAAATCATAAAACCCCACCAGCCCTCTGGGCGCAGGTGGTCTAACAAAGTCTTCCTTTCCTCTTCCAAAAACCCTTCTTCCCATTCGGGGAGGGGTTTACCCATCCCCTACCCCCTCCCCTGGACCTGGACGGGGGGGTTCGCGAGGTGTCAGAGGGTCCTTGTTCGCCAATATGGCTCCAACGTGGCCTCAGAAAGCCCTAGATAGCCTCCAAGATCGCTCAAGATAGCCCAACATGACTAAAGATAGCTAACAACATGCCTCCGAGAGGCCCCAAGAGGGCCACAAGACGGTTCCAGGTGCTTTTGGCGACCCCTAGGACCTCCCCGAGAAGCCAGAATCGTGCAAAAACCTTAGGGAAGTCAGTGATGTTTGCCTTCTCGACTTTTCGCTTCCGATGCGCGTTTCAGGCCTCAAGTTGGCCCTAAGATGGTCCAAGAGAGCTCCGAGAAGGGTTCAAGAGGCCTCCAAGACTGCCCCAAGAGCAACCAAGATCCCCCCAAGAGGGCCCTACGAGAACCCCAACAGGCTATTTCGATGACCCCAGAGGGAGGGCGGGGGGACATCGAGGACCCCCCCGCCCACCGACCCCCCCATGTTCATCAATGGTCTCCAAGATGGCCCCAGGAGGGACTCCATAGCTCCCAAGAGGGCCCCGAGAGAGTCCCAACAGAGCCCCAAGAACGCCCCACGAGGGCCCCAAGGCACCCCAGCAGAGCCCCAAGAGGACCCAAAGAGCTCCCAGAGAGCCCCAAGAGTGGAGCTCCCTATGCGGCCACGAGACGTGTGAGAGGTGTGCCGAAACGAGCGAGGCGCCCACATGTGGACGGTGCCTCTGAGGCCTTCGGTGGAGCTCCCTGGGAAGCCATGAAACGTGTCCAGGGTGTGCCGAAACCGGCGTGCGCCCAAATGTGAGCGGTACCTCTGAGACCTCCGGTGGAGCTCCCTCTGGGGCCACGAGACGTTTGAGGGGTGTAATTACCAAAAACGGGTGTGGCGCTCACATGTGGACGGTGCCTCTTGGACCTTCGGTGGAGCTCCCTCTGGGGCCAGGAAGCGTGTGAGGGGTGTGCTTCTGGAAACCGGGGACCGAAACGCATGCCCCACTGGAAAAAGGATGCGGGGTCGTCTGACCTGTTGAGAGAAAGCCTTGGCAATAAAAGCACCCGAGCGAGAAGCACGAGCTACCCCTGTTACCCCCTGTCCTTGACAGTGGAAGGGTTGAACGTTCAGCGCTTCGTTCCAGCGTGTTTCTGGCACTACATTATTGGGCCTCCTGTTCAATATGAAGGCCGGAGGATCAAGGGGAGGCAATGCGAAGTGGAGACTCAACAGGAGGAGGAACAGGTCAAACTTGCCTGGCCCTCATATGTCGTTGGCCAGAAATGGGATGGAGGGTCGCTGCGTCTTCGAATGCCAACATGCCCACAACGTCAAGGCGTCAGGGAGCATCCCGACACCCGACTTGGTGTTCGTCTACAAGCAAGGTCCCAGGAGGCCTCGACCCATTCCCCAGGACAAGCCTTTCGTCACGAGTCGTGCGTTCGTCTGACGGCCCCGGGGGCCAATAAGGGAACCCATAAACCGAGAACAGCACGCGAGGAGGCCTGGATTCGAGGAGGAGACGGTATTCCTGCTGATGGTATCGTTACCTCCGTAGCTCTCCCTCTAGGCGGCCCACGTTTGCACCCTTTTCAGCAGCAGGATGACGAGGACGACGAACACGACGATCCCGCCCCCCCCCGCGCGCACGACGGAACCAAAGCAGAAGCCGAAGCCGAAGCCGACGACGACGACGACGACGACGACGACGACGACGACGACGACGACGACGACGCCAACGCCAACGCCAACGCCAACGACGATGATCCCCCCTCGCGCGCGCGCAGGCCAGCGCGGGGGCCTCCACGGCCTCCTCCTCCGCCCTCCTGCGGAGGGAGGCGGAGACCCGTGGGGAGGGGAGATGGCGAACGCGGAGGCGGGCCGTCATCTCTCCGCGAGCCCCCGTCGCCCCGTCGAGGCGGGAGGGGGGGCAGGGGAGGGGGGGGCTCGGGCTCGGGCTCGAGCTCCGAGCTCCCCGAGCTCAGGCCCGGAGCTCGGGGCGTGCGGGGCTGGAGCTCGGGCTCGGGGGGGGATGCGGCAGCGGACCCAAAGACGATCTCGACACCACGTGGACCCAGGACGCGTCCTCCATCGCCCCCATCGACGGGGGGGGGGAAGGGGATCGGGGAGGGTCGAGGGGGGTCGGGGAGCATCGATGAAGATCAGGGAGGGCCGAGGAACGGAGGAGGGCCGAAGCACATCGACGAGGGCCCAGGAAGGGGGGGAGGGGTGCGGCAGGAGGAGCACAGAGGATCCAGCGCACCGAATCCGAGCGCGACCCGCAACCCGCGACGTGCGATCGGACTCGCACACTCGCGGCCCTCGCGCCCCCGCGCGGAGGGCAGCCGCTCCGGCACAGTCCGCGACGCGAGAAGCGCAAAGCGCGACTACAGTCGGGGCGCTGACCTAAGGAACCCTAAAGAAGGAGCGAGGCCCCTGATTCCCACAAGTTGAACTTCGATCTCCCATGGCAAACCCAAAGAGAGCTGTAAAGCAATCAAGGAACACTGAGCCCATCCAGCGCCCCGACTGTACCTTCACACCCCCGCGGGTGACCGAGCCGGCAGACACCAGGAGGAGCCAGGGAGGGTCCTCCCGGGGGTGTGTCCCCCCCCTCCCCACCCCCCCACGTCCTGTCTCGAGGCATCGTGGAGCTCCTCGCCGGAGGTGGCCCTCTAGCGATGGTGTCGCTTCCCCTTCCCCGGAAGGAGAGGCATGGAGGGGGCGGATCGAGGATCGAGGTTTCGAGCTGTGGTTATCCTCCTCGGGCCCTCCTCCTCCTCACCCGTCTCCTCCTCCTTCTTTTCGTCTCTCCGTGCGCGCGCGATTCCCCGCGCGAGCGGGGGGGCAGGAAGAGGCACAGAACGAGGGAGAGAATCATGGAAAAGAACTGAGGAGGGAATGGACGGAACGAACACCTCCGACGTCGTGTTTCTTGTATGCGCAACGCGGGCTCCAGAACCTTTTTGGCCCCGGACACAAGGGTGCCCCTGGGGACCCAGAAGCGTCCCAGCACGCCTGCTGTCACGAAGGCTCTGGTGAGCGTGGACTTGACGACAGGGAGGAGGGAAGGAAGAAGGATGACGAATTGGAAGAAAAGGAGGAGGATAACGGGAGACAAACGTTACTCCGCTCGTTGGAACCCTTGGAAAAGTCGGCCCTCGTCCCGGGTCTCCCCAAAACCCACCTTGACCATTTCCTCGAATTGCGCCCGGCAGCGGCAACGAGAGCGCCCACGAGTCACGAAGCCAACAAAAACCTCTTGGCGCTTCCAGCAACATCATTCCTCGCACCTCGATCCTCCTCAAAGGACACGCATGGACTCTCGAAACTCGAAACAACAATCTCGATCCCGATCCTGGAATATGGAACCGCGCTCTCTTCGGAAACCCGACATTCGATCCTCACTCCTGGAACCTGGAACCTCGAAGCTTCGAGGCTTGAACTTTAACATCGATCCTCGCGCCCTCGAAGTCTCAACCCTTTACGAGGCGACCAAATGCTCGTCCCCGACCTGGGTTTTTGACTGCCCTGCGGCCCAGACCCCGCGACGGCCCACAGAGGCCCAGACGCTCGGGGTCGCTACCCCAACTGACGGTGTACCATAAGGGGGGGAATTGCTGAGGCGGGGTGAAAATCGACCTGCGATCGGCGATGTACCCGGAGAAAAAATCGGCGACGGGCTCCCGATAGCGAATCCGGACATTCCTGGGCAGTCGGCTGCTAGGCCTTTGTCGGTGATGAACGGACGACTTGGGGTCGACGCGTCTCGCCTGAGCCCATCCCACTCTAGAGCTGTTGCCAAGCAGACCCCCCCCCAAGGAACCGCAACGATTTCATAATGGGAAAATTTCAATCATGTTGTTTTCCTCAAGCTGGGCCGCGGGGAATCGTCGTGGAACGCCCGCGCGCCATCCAATGGCCGCGCGCCGCCTGCCCCCGCCGTTGAATCACGCCAGGCGAACCGCGGAGGCGCGACCAATGCGGCCCCCGAGCCAGGCCGCCCCGTGACCGCCATGGGACTCATCGTCGCGATGACGTTTCATTCCGCACTCGTCGGGCATAACGTCCACGCGAGTTAGGGCGCGCGCAGCCGTCGAAGCGCAGACGGAATCAGCGCGCGCGCAAACGTCGACAGGCCAGGCGCTGCCCCGGCCGCGCGGCCGATAGCTGGCGCGGGAGAAATAACTCCCAAGCTGATTTATGATGGAACGCGCCGGCGCGGGACCGACGGACCACAAGAAAAGGGCCACTTTGGAGACCCCGCATGAAGACGAGACGCTCGAGCGCGAGCGCCGCGTGGGGCATTGGCGGGACGCCGGAAGCGGTTGGATCTCACGCCCGCTCAAGTTGAGCAAACTCCTCTTCTGGGGAGTAGCGCTTGCGGGACCCACCGCGGGCGCGGGGGCCGCTGGCGCGGACTCTGCCGCAATCGCGGCGAAGCCCCGGCGCACTCCCCTGCGGGCCACGGCGCGCGGCGCAGAGAAAAGGGGCCTGACGGCAACCGTCGGCTTCGAAGCCTTAACGGCCGGCCGCGGGCGCGGCGGCGCAATCGCGAACCCGCCGCGCGAGGCAGCGCAGCCCGCCTCGAAGGCATCCTCTCCAACCGAGCGGCCTTGGCCCCCTCCCCAAGCCCCCGCCGCCTTTCCGCGGCGCACTGCCCCCCCTCCCCGTTTGGCCACGATGTTGGGTACTTTCTTGGCCCCGATTCTGCGCACTTTTTGGCCCCCCTTCCGCGGAGGCACATTTGCTTGACCACGATTCATGTTCAAAATCGTGGGTGGGTTCGTGGGGCATTGCAAGGGGGCGCGGAATCGTGGCCGAAAATCGCGGGCAAAATCGTGCCCGAAATCGTTGGCAAAATCGTGTCCGAAATCGCGGGCGACATCGTGCTGCCGAAATCGTGGGCGCAGAATCGCGGGCCTGCCCGGTGAGCTGGCATGCCAATCAGGAGCGCCCGCGCAACATCAGCGACTGTAAGAAGAAAAGAAGGGAGGGAGCGGCAGCAGCAGCAGGAAGGCCAGCAGCAGCAGCGGGAAAAGGAAATAATGGGAAGCAACAGCAGGAGAGGAGGAGAGAAAGAGTCGTCGGAATTGGCCCGCCTGTTCGTCGCGCGCCCCATAGCGCACTGGACATGCTTCTCGGGGGAAACTCGCCGGCCCAACGGGCCAGAAGCGCGCGAAGATCCCTGGCGACTGCCTCGCAACATGTCTACTTTGCGCGCGAGGGGCGGCCCAGATGGGCCCCGGACGCAAAGTGCCCCGGCCAGGTCGGGCCAGAGATGGTTCTTCTCCTTGGCGCGGCTTTCAAGCGCCCCAAAGCGATCCAAAAAAGCCCCAAGAGGCGCCCGAGACGGTACAAGAGGGCTCCGAGTCGTCGAACGATCGGTCCGCGACACCCACGATGGTTTCGGCCACCGCGAGCTGAAACGACACCCGAAAACGCGATTCTGAACTTCAAAGAAACATGGTAGCAGAGAGACGAGGCGGAAACAAACCGGGGGCGACACCGCTCGAATGACGCGTCGAAGCGAGATTGCGCGCAATCCGCACGCCGAATGCCAAATGTAGGAGCGGGTCGGCGACGCAACAGCTTCTGAACAAAGAAAACTCGAAAAACTTGGAAACCTACCAACCCTGGGGGACGCAGCTTCATGAGAACTGCCCCCTACAACCCCCCTCGCCCTTGTCGATCAAGAAAGCGGGAGGATTGGCATGCCCGACGTGGATACCGAAAACATGGGTACGATACCCAACAGCATGGTCTGCCAAAAACCAGCAGCGGCCGCTGTTGGGCATGAGACCTATTGTCTCAAATGGGCAGCGCCCGCGGCAACACCGACAGCGAATCCTGTTCAAAATGGACAGGGACGACTGTCGTTTTCGACCCTTGTCTCCCTGTACCCGTTTTGATCATACTGGGGGGCGTGAAAGTAACGGGGGGGGAAACTGGCTCACGGGGGGACACATCGACCATGAATCGGCGATACGTCGCCGATACACGTGCGATAAGCCCCCGATCGCAAATCTGCGCGCTCCTGGGCGGGGTGGGGCATCGGGCCCTTATCGGCAGTGAATGGGCGGTTGGGAGTCGATTTGTCCCCCCCCTGAACCCATCCCATTCCTAACGTTGCCCCTGAGGACCCTCGGTTTCCGGGCCATAACACTAAAGTCTCCCGCGGCCGCTCGGGACGATCCAGCACACCCCGGAACGCCCTCGGCGAGGCGCTGCTGCTGGAGCACATCCTCATGCTGGAAAACGTCCAGGAAAACCGACGACAACGTCCGAAAACCTCGCAACTCGAACCTCTCGCCCGCCCTGAGCCTATTCAACCATGACGCTGCCCGCCCCAACACCCCTGAGCCTACCCCTTTGTGCTGGTGCCACTGAAGGGAGCCCGAAGGGCGGCGGCTGCTACCCAAGCGGGATCCTGCGGTACTGCTGTTCCTCAAGCCTCGCGCGGCGTTCCTCCTCAAGCCTCGCACGGGGGAGGAATGGTATCACTGCTCCTCCACGCTCACACGCAAATCACACATACGCACACACGACATACTTACGCATACTTCGCACACACTAGCCGGGCACACGCATCAGGCGCAAGCGCAGCACGACACAACAACACATAGGCGTAGGATTCGCAAGACGTGGCGGACGTTACCTGTCCTGGCGCTACACGGGGTGCGAAAAAAAGGGGTGGGGGCGCTATCCGTTTCGGGCTCGCGAAGCTTGGCAAACGCGGCACTCCCTCGGCGCCACAAGGAGGTGCGCTGGGGATGGGACAACTATGCATTTCGGGCTCGCTACGCTTGGCAGGCGTGGCGCTCCCTCGACACCACAGGGTTTGTGCTGGAGGTGGGGATGAGATGCGTTTCGGGTTCAGAAAGCGTGGCAAGCGCGGCGTTCGCTCGAAACCGCAAGGGGGGGCGGCGGGGGTGGAAACCTTCTCCGTTTCGGGCTCGCCACACGTGGCAGGCGTGGCACTTCCTCGACGCGCACGGGATGCGCAGTGGGTGGTGCCGCTATTCGTTGAACCACTGGTATTCCGACTTGAAAGACTTGGTCAAAGAAGGGCCGCGCTGGTGGCGATTTCAATACGCAAGTGAGCGTTGGCAGCAGAAGCGAACTACTGCGTGAGTTTGTTGCGGACTTTGATTTGTTCGTCCCCTCGGACAGCAGTGAGCAATCGTGAGAAAATAAAGCGGACCTTGGAAAGCACGTTGGGGGTCACGCGCCAATTAGATTTCGTGTGAATGGGCAAGACACTGGCTGTCACCAAGTGCGAAGCCTTCAATGACCTCGACTGTGGGTCTGATCACTGGCCTGCGCTTGCTTCTGCGAGACTGCTAGACACTCGAAGACGACGGGTCAGAACACGTAAGTGCGTTGGCAAGGTGCGCAACGCTATGGGGACACCGTGGAGAGAGTGCCCTCGACAACTCAGACAGACACCCTTGAAGACGTGCACCGGCCTCCGCCGCACTGCTGCCCCAGGGGCGCTGATAAGAGTAAGGGGCCGAAGGGGCGTCCGCCTGTGCTGCCGCAGTGCTAGACCTGCCCGCTGATCTCCGCGCCTGCCAGGATTGTCGGGGAACGACGTATCAACACGTGCTTGCCAAGGCCGCCAGGGCAACGACTGACGGTCGCACTGACAGCGTGCACTGGGGGCGCCGAGCTGAGGCCCCCCCCCCCGCACGACTAACGGTCGCAATTTCAATGTGTATTGAAAAGCACCGAGTAAGGGGTGCCCCCTCCCGCACGTCTACAATCGCAAGCGAACGGCACCCGCGGGGAAACGCGGGGCGGGCAGAATTTCGACGAGGATCTGGCCGAGGGGACGAAAGTTCCCCAGGACAGAAAGACGAAAGGCACGACGCTGCGCCGCTCGTCTCGATCGCGCCCACGCTGCAGCATCCTGAAGTCGTGGAACCCACCGTGGAGGCGGCCGTGGACGACGCACTACTCGAGGCCGTACTTGTCGTGACCGTGCTGCCCGAGGTGGCGCGGCAGGTCGCCCATGACGCACTTCAAGGCAACGAAGCACTGGAAGCCAAGGTGGTGGAAGCTGCAATTGTGCAAGAGGCCACGCTGGTCGTCAAGCTGCCAGTGCCGCACGTACTAGCCGTCGAAGAACTCGTCTCGGTCAACGTGGTTTGCAAGACCTTGACGATCCGTCAGCTTCGTGCCGCTGCTCACCGTGGTGCTGGCCGGACGGGGCTGCTCGACTGCGTCGTACTCGAGGTCGCGCTGCTCGGCGTTGCGCAGCGCGACTCGACAACGCACTTGCTGGAGCACATGTCGACGCGGAGCTCACCGTGGAAGTGGCCGTGGACACTAAACTGCTCGAGACCGTACTGGTTGTGACCGTGCTGCTCGAGGTCGCTTTGTTGGTCACCTGAAGTCGTGGACAACGATGCACTGGAAGTCAAGCTGCGGACGTTGCAGCGATGCTGCTGGCCACGCTCGAGCAAGCCATCGTGCCGCTGGTGCTGCTCGTACGAGCCGTCGAAGAGCGCGCCGCGGTCACCGTGGTATCGAATGGCCCTGACGTATCCGTCAGCGTCGTGCTGCTGCCCGCCGTAGCGCTGGCCGGCGTGGTGTTGCCCGACTGCGTCGCGCTCGAAATCGTGCTACTCGACGATGCGCAGCTCGTCTCGGCCCCGCTCGCGCTGCTGCTCATCCCAACGTAGAGCCCACCGTAGAATGGCCGTGGGCGCTATATTGCTTAAAACCGTATTGGTCTTGACCGTGCTGCTCGAAGTCACGCTGCTGGTCGTCTGAAGCCGTACTGCTAGACAACGGGCACTGGAAGTCCAGGTGGTGAACGATGTAGTTGTGCAGCTTGTCACGCTCGAGCTAGCCGTCGTGCTGCTGGTGCCGCTCGTACAAGCCGTCGGGGTACTCGTCTCGGTCACCGTGATGTGAATGACCCTGACGTATCCGTCAACGTCGTGCCGCGGCTCACCTTAGTGCTGGCCGGCGTGGTGCTGCTCGATCGCATCGCACTCGAGGTCGTGCAGCTCAACGCTGCGCTGCTCGCCACGACCATGCACACGCGGCTGCCCACTGTCGTTGTGGAAATGGCCGTGGACGTCGAGCTGCTCGACGTCGTAATGGTCGCGACCGTGCTGCCCTAGGTCGCACTGCTGGTCTGCTGAGGCGTACTGCGAGACAACGGTGCACCGGAAGTCGAGGTGGTGGACGATGCAGTTGTGCTGCTGGACACGCTATAACTGGCCGTCGTGCCGCTGGTGCCGCTCGGATTAGCCGTCGAAGAACTCGTCTCGGCAAGCGTGGTATTGAATGACCTTGTGGGTGTTGAATGACATGGTCGTATCTGTCAGCGACGTGCCGCTGCTCATCGCAGTGCTGGCCAGCGTGGCGCTGCACGAAAGGGTCGCACTCAAAACAATATGTTCGACACTGTGCTGCAAGTTTTAACCTCGTCCACGCTGTTGCTCGCTGTCGTCGTGGAGCTCGCCGTGCAGGTGGCAGTGGACGTCGCATTGCTCGCAACCGCACTGGCCACGATACGACGAAACACAAGCGTGTCCGCCAGGATTGCCAGGATACGACGAATCACAACGTGCCTGCCAGGGCGACCAGGGAAACGACGAACGGTCGCACTGTCAGTGTGTACCGGGGACCACCGACCCGGGGCACCCCCTCCAACACGACTGACGGTCACATTTTCAGTGTACATTGGGGAGCTCTGAGCAGGGGTTCCCCCCCTCACGACTAAAGGTCGCACGGTCAGTGTGAAACGCAAAACACACCAGCGGGGAAAAGCGAAACGACCAAAATATCGACAAGGACCAGGCCGTGGCGACGAGAGTGCCCCGAGGCACGAAGACGATCGGCCCGACGCAGCGCAGTTCTCCTCGGCCACAACACGCTGCAGCACCCTGAAGTCGTGGAGCCCACCGTGGAAGTGGCCGTGGAGTCGCAAAGTCCGACACCGTACCGGTCGTGGCCGTGCTGCCCGAGGTCACACTGCTGGTGGGGATATGTTTTTTGATCGGCGGCCCGCAAGGAAAAGTCCAGAAGGCGTGAGTACCGAGGCTGGGGCACAGCGCAAGATAATTAGCGCGAAAACGCGCGGAGTGCACATGCAAGGACCAATTAGGGCCACGGCCAGCGTAACCAGCGAGGAATCGCCCTGACGGCGCCAACTCGCGAAGAGACAGACACAAGCAGCCAGCCGCGAGGCGCGCACAACCTGCACCTGTGCAGCCGCAGAAGCCAAACCAGCCGAAGGCGGCGGGAGCGGCGGGCGAACGGAAGCGCGAGCAAGCGAGGAGCCGCCCAAACGGCGCCCGCAAGCAGCGACCACTGGCCAACCACAGCACGCACGGGGCCTGTACCCGTGCAGCCGCAACGGCCAATGCAGCTGTAGGCAGCAGGGGAAACACCTACAGACAGAGTGAACGGAGCAAGTGGCGACGAGCAGTAGGAACCCTCACTCACGGAGCACCCGGTGCTCATCGAGGACCACAAGAGCACAACTGAAAAACTCCGAAACCGCTGGTGGGGATACGCGAAACGTCTAGAATTGTTTTGCACTGTGTGGCAAGTCGTGCATTGCACGCGCAAATCCAGCGATACACTTGCGCCAAGGACCACCGACTCCCGAAGCGCAGCCGACGGCACAGACGCCCGAGGGAGCGACCCCCGAGCTGCGCCCCCCTCCCCCCCCCCCTGCGAGAACCACACGGGATTCGCGAAGCAGGCCGGAGGGGAAGCGGAGCCGACGCCGCGCGGTGCTGGGCCCCTGGCGGCGTGCCGCCCTGCAACGCCCGCGCTGGGAGCCACCGCCGCGCCAGCGAGGGGCGCCGAGCCTGCCGCGCGGGCCTCCCTCCCTCCGCGGGCCCCCGAGCGGCCCCCCACCGGGGGCGGGGCGGCCTGCGGGCGGCCTCCTCCCGCTGCCGGGCCTCCGCCTCTCGGCGGCGGGCCTCCTCGCTGGCCTGACCGCGGAGGTGTTCGCCAGCCCCCTAGTCGTCGCCGTCGCCTCCGCTGTCGTCGTCACCGTCGCCGTCGTCACCGTCGCCGTTGCTGACGCCGTCGCCGACGCCGTCGCCGACGCCGTCGCCGCCGACGCCAAGGCCGCCTCCGTGGCCGTCGCCACCATCACCGTCGTCGAGGTCAAGTCGTCATCGCAGTCGCCGCCGTCGCCATGGCAGTCGTCGTCGTCGTCGTCGTCGAAGTAATTGTCGCCGTCGGCGCGTCGGCGTGCAAGCCCCTCCTCCTTCGATCCTCCTCCTGTTCCTCCTGGACCATCAATGTCCATCCTCGATCCTCGATCGTCCTCCTCCTCCTCCTCCTCCTCTTCCCTTGCTCTTCCTGCTCTTGGAATATCGATCCTGGCCACGTCCGCCACCACAATGGTTCAGCCCCCGGCAAACTCAAACTGAACCGGGATGGTCACGTGTCCTCGGGTGTTGCCAGAGGTGTCCCCTGCCCAAGGTGTCCCCAGCTTATCGCTCCACCTTGGAACCCATGGAGCGCTCTGGGCATCTCGGATGGTGCGCTGGAGGCAGCGAAGGCCTCCCTGGAGATCTTGGGGACACCGTAGGCCTTACCGCAGATGTTCGCCCCATGGCGAAGTCAAACGGATGACCACCCGCACCCCGCACGGGGCCCACGGAGACCCGGATTTCGAGACACGGACGTGGACACCGATCGGGCTGCGAGAGTCGGACACAGGCGGAAAACGACAACTGCTGTCGTCGTTCTCGCCGCCGCTGCGGCCGTCGTCGCTCGGGGTCCTGCTCGGGCGATCAGCCTCGACGGTGTGAAAACGAGCGCACCAGGGCGAACCCGACTGGAAACATCGATACACCATTATATTGGCACAGTGAAAATCTAAACCTCGACTGTATCTGCGGAACTAACAAAACACGCAGGTCGGCAACATAATGTCGAACCATGAAGTACTAGGGCGTCTGATTCAGATTGGACTTCGGCCCGCTAGTTCGAAATGGGGCTTCTTGGCAAACGCACGTGGCTTTCAGGGCGGCGATGGGTGGCGCCACGAGAGTCGCGAATTGGCCAGGGCCTTTTCCCTTTGGGGCCGCGCAGAATTGGGGCGCGCACGGAGGGTGCAGGATGGTGGGTGGGGCGAGAGATAAGAAAGCGAGCGGCTCGAACCAGGGAAGCATGGGGAACGAAAGCGTTTTGAGCCAAGCCCAGTACGAGAACCCACGCGGCCCAAGACAGATCCACCGGGGAACGCGTGCAGCCCAAACCGATGAGAACGCGAGCGGGGGGTGCGTCTCGGGAACGCGAATCAGAAGGGCCCATTGGGGTCATCATCGGTGGAAGGGTTACCGAGACGACTTCCCCATTTTCGGTCTTTTCTCGGGGCATTGTTGGGACATGTTGTGTCAGGTTTGGGACATCTTGGGCGGTTGTGGGCCGAATTGGGCCCCTCTTGTAGCCCACTAAAGTATGATTGGCTTGTCAGGGGTGGCGTCTTTGGCAGTTCAGGGCTGGCAAAAACCCACTAAACATTTAAGAAATCACGAACGACCCAAAACAACAGGTGATGTGTGTTTAACAATGTTCATTGTGACCCCACGTGGGTCAATCTACGTGGTGCAATTTACGTGGAGCAATCCACATGGTGCAATCTATGTTGTGCAATCAATCACGTGCCGAACTTGAAGTTGTCAACTCCACTGCTCGCGCAATCATCCCATCCACCCACCCGCAACTTGGTTTGCAAAACCCATGCGGGACCGAGCACAAATATCGTTCCGGGGTCGTCTTGGAGCCCTCGGGGGCGTCTCAGGAGCGCCCCAAGAAGGACGGAGAAGCAAGACGGCCGACGACGACGACGACGACGACGCCGACGTCGACGACGACGAAGACGACGACGACGACGCCGACGACGACGACGAAGACGACGACGACGTCGCCAACGAAGACGACGACGAGGGAGGAGGGAGGACGACGACGGCGACGACGACGACAACGACGACAACGACGACAACGAGGAGGGAGGACGGCGACGACGCGAACGACGAAGAATTAGGAAGGACGCCGACGCCGACGACGACAACGACGAGGGAGGAGGGAAGACGACGACGAGACGACGACGACAACGACGACGACGACGACGACGACGGTCACGAAAAGGGAAGACGACGACGCGACGCCGACGACGGACGACGACGACGACGAGGGAAGAGGAGGAAGGACGACCACGGCCACAACGACGACGGAAACGACCACGACGCCAAAGACGACGACGACGACGACGACGAACACGAGGAAAGACACAGGACGACGTAGGCGACGACGACGACGACGCGGCAGGAGGGTGGACGGCGACGACGACGACGACGACGACGACGCCGCAAGAGCGCGCGCGCACGCTTCTGTTGAAAATCCGTGTTGCGAAACCTTTTGTTTTTTCCAGGTTTTTTGGCACGCGATTGCGAATTTTTTCCGGAACCGATGGGTTTTGAAGGATTTCGGCGTACGCGCGCGACGACGCGCGCGCCCGCACATCATCCCATTTGTTGCAGAAGATTCTCGCGACGGCACACGCGCAAGAGCGTTCGACTGATTTCGATATGCGCGCGCGACGCCCCCTTGGTAGCATGATGTGAAAATCTTGAAAGACCAAGTTTTTTCTTTATATATATATATATATGCAAAAACTCGCGCGTAAGCGCTTTTTTTGCAAATCCGTATTGCGAAACCCTGTGTTTTTGTATGTTTTTTGGAAACTCGATTGCGAAATCCCTCCGGCACCGAAGGGGGGGGGTGGAGTCTATTCTCTTTTTAGACAAAGGAATTGATCTGAACCAAAGGGTTGACACATCTCACGCTATCGCAAACATCCCACCCATCCGCCCGCAATTTGGTTTGCAAAACCCATGCGGTGGCGAGTGCGATGCATGCTGAGCGTTGGCTGGT